GGTGGAGTTCAAAGCTGAAACATCTCAACACATCTGTTAAAGTCATTGGTACGTTGGACCTGTTGTGTTGCTTTGTGTTATTAGCTGCAGGATTTATGTCAGAAATCAGCTCACATTCAATTGTTCTTTGGCGATTTATCACGTTTGTGAATTTACGAGAATACTTTTATGTTTTGAGGGTATTTAAAAAATATTTTATTCCATATGTTGATATTTAAAGCCAGGGCACAGCTGATAAATCCTACTGCACTGTTAGATCTTTATATCTACTGTATTATGTTGGCAAAGGAGAGTCTCGAACTGATTGAGAAATTGCAGAGTGCAGAAAGATATTTCTGAGGTTCAAGAACTTTATTGCCATTGTGCGAGCACGATGAAATTCTGAAAAGTGTAATCCTCAAATTTAATTGTGTCTGTTATTAAGAAATATATATAAGGAAAACATACAAATACGATATGATAACATATGTAAAAATTCCCTGTGAATAAAGTGGAGCTATTTTTATTAACAGTCCCTCAAAATGTCACTGTTGCTCAATCACCTTGTAAAAACACAGATACAAAGGATAAGGTGATTTATTTTCTCGCTCACACTTCACTCTTTGCTGAACTGGACCCAAAAATTCCATCTGATTAATTTTTCTAGCTCAACGTGGGTGTGTAAGTGAAATCTGAAGCAACGGAGCCAAAACTACATGAAGATTACTCACTCAGAAAACTTCAGATAGCAAGAAAAACACACATGAGAAGATCTGTCCTTAGTCTTTTCTATCGCAGTAAATACAGATGAAAACTATTTTTATCTTTTTATTCCATCATTTTCAGACCTTGCGTTGTGTAGAATGATACATACCAAGAATTTAACAATAATCTCCAGCTAAATGTGCTTTTATTTGAGTAAATCAGCAGGAACTCCTCAAGGCACTGGGTGATTCTTGCCAATTTTGGTTCTTTCCTGGCGAGAGGAACCAAAGAAGCTTCCTGTCTGGCTACTGTCTATCATCTTCAAGCATTTCTGAGGACACCTGAATGGAAACGGGAGGGAGGAGGGTCGTTCTTTATGTGTTTATGGAAGTCTGTTGTAAGAGGCCACCTTGAGAGGCTGATATGGTTTAAAATATAATCTCCTGTTTTTTCAGTTCAACCCAGTGGGAAGGCTGTAGAGTGGGAAAAGCTTCATCAGCCCTGAAAGATGTCAGCACGTGAACGCACCTTATTGCATGATGATACACTCTTTGGACATCCTCCACATCTTCTCCCCCCTCTGGTGTCCCGAGGCCAAAGCAGATTGCCAGAGTGCTGACTCTCAACCAAGGATGGAAGCGGATGAGGGCCAGGTTTCGACAGAAAAACACATCCGCTCTCTTGATTAAATCCGAAGGGATTATTGAACCAAAATCCAACAGGCGTCGTGGCCAAGTATGAACGGTGCAGAAATGGAAGAGGCTGATTCAGGAATTATGGATATGGAAAGAGAAAGCAACAATTTCCAGACAAGTGTTGAACAAGGCGCTGGGATTATAAAGCTTTTCACTTTTAAGCTACAGCTTCACAAATTCACAAGCCTGTAAAATTATTCATGGACTGACGCAATTGCTGTATCAAACAAGGCTCTTAGTTCTTAGTTTCTATATGAGCCAGAAATCATTTTTTCAAAGAGAAAAGTCAGTTATGTCCATGTGGATTTGTCGAGCTTGGATCAATCCCACACAAACCCAAATGACCCCAGACCAGCGGCTATTTATCACACTCTGCTGCCTGAACGATATCCGTGAGCCTTTTAGAATGACGGCTGTGAGTGACTGTTACGTAACCGAGGAGAATTATCCAGACACTGTCACGCCCTCTCCCTTAAAACAGTCTTCTCCCTCTCATTTCTTTAGAATTTCTCCAGAGAGGTTTTCAGGTGTGGAAATATTGATTGCTCACACAAAACACCAGAAGAGAATAAGTTTCACAGAGTTGATGAAATCTACTGTATGCACTCACACTTTATTCGAGCGCTTCAGGACGATTTTTTGTCTGTCTGGTGTTTTCAGCAGCCACGGTCAATCAATCACGCTGTCAGCCTGAGGTTACCACAAAACCCTGCTGCCCCAGACCCACTGAAATATTTGGTTCCTGGCTCACACCTCTCTTTCTCGCTAGAGTCTCAGGCTCAGGCCCAAACGGGTGCCCTGGATTCAGCTCCGTCACTCTCTCTGCCAGGAACAACGGACAGTGGAAACTTTTACCTCCTTAATGTTCACTTTTTCTAATGGCTTTTCAGTCCAAATGGGACAATGGCAGCAAACAGCTCAGGGGAAATTCACGTCAGAGAAGGATGTGGGACGGCTTCTTCAACAGGGCGGAGGACGGTCTGGTGGAGCCCAGAAATGTGATGACAAAGCTGCATTGCACAGAGAGATTGAAGATGTTGACATCCATGCAGGAAGGAGTCATGGGACAACTATGCATAGTTGGAGGTTGATGTTTTACTGCTGCTGTGACGAGTGTACAGCATGGGTTTCAAGCCTTATAAGTACACTTTGGTTGACACTTGTCCTGTTGAAGTATGTCGATAAAGATGGACGACATGACTGCTCTACAAAAGTGAAGCCAAAGTCTCTTAATCGCCACCTGGTGGCTGGCTGCAGTATAGGTCATAAGCCCTGTCTCCTCAATGTATGTAGATGGGACATGAACCAAACTAAAAAAAGTGTCAGCGTCAAATACATTTTTCCCAAAGATAATTTCTGTCATTTTAGCAAGTTCTTACCACACTGACGTATGCTGAAGTTAATTGGTTTCAATTATTGAAAGAGTGGTTGAAATGTCCAGTATTAGCTTCTGTCTAATCTTACATGTATCGATGACTTTATCTTTGCAAACTGAACTCCTCTGATTGCTTGCTGAACAGCTCCATGCACTTGCAATCAAAGTCATCCGGTATCCCTTGCTAAGAATAATCGCTGCAGATGAACCCACATTTTACAATTTTAGTTTTCTTACGGTTTCTGTGTCTTCTCTCTCTCAGCCGCCCGACAGTTATCTCTGAATTATGGGACAACAAACCAGGCCTCATCTCCATTCTGTAAAGGATCCAGCATAGGACCAGCACGCACTTCCACCACTTATATCCTGACAATGAAAATAAAAGGACGGGAAACGAAGCCACATGTGAGTCTCACTGAATACTTGAGTTCGCCCACTGAGAAACCGCAACAGCACAGCTCGTATTTCCTATGAGGTATGTATGTGTTTGTGACAGTGTGTGTGTGTGTGTGTGTGCTTGTGCTTGTTACCTCTTCAGGACCTTTTCCAGCATAAAAACAGACTTTATCAGGACCAGTTGTCCTAATGATGCTAAATGTCATTTCTGAGGTCCTGGTTAAGGTTAAGATGTGAATTGTGGTTAGGTTAAGGTTAGGGATAAGGTTTTTGGTTAGTGTGACAGAGTGAAACAGACGAGGGAGAAAGAAAAGACCGATTTCAGAGGAGAATTAAACTCAGTGACTGAGACATTTCCCCAATATTTTCCTCTCTTCCCTTCCAGAGGTTAAAGAAACTCTATCCTGAGCGAGTTCCATCTTTTTTACGAGTTGTGGAAGAGGAAAAATAATTTTTTGGCACACCCAAACTTTTATGCTGAAAAAGTAGGCCACATTTATACAAACCATCATCTTATAAGTGAGGGAGACTTAAAGTTGGCAGCGTCACCTAAACTAAACTACTTCAAGTTTGTGTGCTCGTATTTATGGCTCTGATAAATCTGAGTCTAAATTTGAGCTGTCGTTACTTCTGTCTGTTCCCACAGACTTTCTGCCACATAAGTAGTTTTGATATGGCAAAGTCCCAGACGGCCTGTAGGTCAGACGCAGTCAGCCTCAGACGATATGTGATAATTTACTGTTTACAAAGTGTTTAAATCCACATTGGTTTTTAATGACACATTTTCTCTTTTACTGATTCATTCAGTAACTAGGCAGTCCTATCGAAAAATGAGACATAATTCAAAAGGTGGCTGGTTCTTTTCCAAAGAGTCTGGTCACCATGTGCGTGAACCCACAGCATCCACTGAAAATGAGTTCACCTCCATATCATGACACCACCTCCAGGAAAAGGGAGAGATCCCTGGAATGTGACATTCCCTGCTGGCAAACTGTAGTCGATCCTAATCAGTGACAGGAAGAGAGGAGCCACTTGGATGACATGAGACGAATCGAGTGGAAGCCATTTGTGGAAAAACAGTAGACTTATCCTGGATTTTATTTTTGAAGGTAAACTCCTTTATCAAACAGAGACCAACTCAAATGCCACACGATGCACTGGGTGAGCCCTTTAAATGTGTTAAAATGAGCATGAGCTCTGAATAAAGAAGTTCACGTCTGTGCCATGAATACACAACTCCACTTGATATGATTAGGATTTTTATTATCAGTTTTTTTTTGTGTACACACAACTCAATGACCCAAGAAGCATCACAGGCCAGATTTAAACCTTGGGGAACACTGCCCTCTTTTGGTGATACTGTAAAAAAGCCCAGCAGTCATCAAACAGTAACTATTTAGAGTTTGATTGTTCAGCTCTGACAAGTTCATGAGGCTTAAATCATCTACTTTACATTGTTTTAAAGTGGAAATCCCTCATAGAGCTTTTAATGTCCTCCTGACACAAGTGTTTGATCGAAGCCAACTCGGCTGTGGTTTAGAAAAATCTCCTTTAAAAAGTACAAAAAAGTGCTGATAGCCATCATTCAGTGGAGATTAAAGCTGAGTTTTAATCTGGGTAAATTCTGTGGACATGTTTCTAAACCTCTAATTCACATACCTCGCAGATTTTGGAAATGCTAATGGTGGTTAAAAATATATCCAGTATTTTGTTTGTTTTACTCTGTGCTGAATCCCTGTTTTTTTCTCTCATGTACCTTTAACTTCCATCTTACAGTCTTTTATTTATATATATATATATATATATGTACATTAAATGTAAATGTGAAGTGACAAATGAAGAAATCAAACTTTTACAACTGAAATCATATAATTTTATTATTCTACATCAAAAACATGGACTGCAATAACATTGCCTGATTTTTGTGTGAGTAATTCCGACAATGACACAGCTCACTGAATATGCTCTCTGGTATTGCGTCAACTACTATTTGGGTAACAAAAGCCAGCCTTGACGTGAAAGGCAGCCATTTTTGTGCGCTTTGAAGAGTCTGGTGTTTGAGGACAGACCTGAGATTTAAAAAGCACATGCAAATGATTTTTAATTTGTATGTTTTCAATATAGAAAGTATTTCCAAGTCAAAAGTAATCAACTTTAATGCAATTGACAATCTAAAATTCGAAGAACACCACCACTGATACTCCACGCATGGTAAAACTAAGAATTATTTGCAGCGACTATTTGAACCAGGTCCAGGTCAAGATGAGAGAGGTTTTCAGGGATTTGCGAGGGTCAGATTCTACTTTTTGGCGATCTGAAGACGCTCAGTCACATTCTCCCAGTTGATTACGTTCCAGATCGCCTTAACATAGTCCGGCCGCACATTTTTGTACTGAAGGTAATAGGCATGCTCCCATACGTCAATACCAAGAAGAGGGATGAGACCTGAGGGATGGAAAAAAATTTCATCTGTGACAATAATAGGGGACAATATAAATGCATGCCTAGAGATGTTGTTTGTGGCTCTTTTTTTTTTCCACTGACCTGTCGTCCCCTGCAGAGGATCCTGGTTTGCACAAGCAGCGATGCGAAGTCTTCCGCTCTCCTTGTCGTAGCCCAGCCAGCCCCACCCTGAGCCCTGCACTGCAACGGTAGCAGCAGACATCTTTTCCTTCAACTTCTGGAGGGAGCCAAAGTCCCGATTGATGGCTTCCATTAGTTCCCCTACAACAAGTGAAAGAGACAAGTAGAGTGATACTAAACATTAACAGAAAGAAGCAAAATCAGAAAGCATTTCTAAAAAATCTTAACATATTCTAGTTGGCTCTATTTTCTATTTTCATTGGAAGAGAGCTGCCATGACAGACTCAACTCCCTGAAAACCCTCCCTGGTATAATTTTTTTTTGTAATACGGAATATTTACTTTCAGGTTTGCCAGACATGTCAATTAGCTTCCTGGATAATCTGTTGAAGCAGGATGTTTAACCCCACCCCTCCATTGGCATAGTGGTGAGTATATAATGAGGGAATTTTCATTCATGGGTGAACTACCCCTTTAACAATCCGTACATGGTGCCTATACAGGGTCATTTGAGTTCAGTGTTTTTACATTAAAACATGTTAATGCAAATGTTAACACAACAACCCAGTGTAGGGAAATTTTAAGACAACAAGCTGATCCCACCGCTGATATGTTTCTACCTTACCCTGTGGCCCATCTCCACCATTTGGAGAGAGGTTTGTCCAGAAGATGGTGTGATTAATGTGGCCTCCTCCATTAAATTTCAGAGCAGGCTGGAGGGCAACTTGTGCCGTCACGTCACCTGGAATATGACACAAATAACATCCAGATGAATAAAAAGATTCAGGATCCGACTAGGCTGATTACTTCATGCTATCTATCTTCTGTACCCTTTGCCAGTGCCTCTTGATACTTCTCCTCTGTGACGTTGAGGTTGTTCACATATGTGGCGTGGTGCTTGCTGTGGTGCAGCTGCATGATCTCTGCACTGATGTGGGGCTCCAGGGCACCATAGTCGTAGGTCAGGTCTGGGAGCGTGTGCTTGTGCCTCGATGCGGTTGCCTGGCTTATGGTTTGGCTGAGACTGGCTGCACACCTGGAAAACAAACCAAAAAAAAAAATTTGTTATGCCAACCATAACATTACCACATAGGTTTTTAATGTGGTAGACCACACGTGAATCCTGCAACTTTTTTTTAAATTAAAGCAGCACAATGTTTGTTCTGGCACGTGGGTCTATCAGCTGAAGGTTTGTTGAGCTTGTGTAACTGTGTGGAAGTGACCTGTGTGTTTCCTCATGTTGTTGTTAGCATTATTATTAGCTAAATGAGCTGGTGGTAGCATTATGAACAATGTAAACACGCCACACACACTCACGCCAGTGAATGAATGGCTGTGAAATAACAACACAACAACTTTTATTTGGAGCTCCACAGGCTAACCTAGCCGGGCTGCTGCACCTGGTTAGCACCCTGCCTAGCTAGCTTGTTAGCTCTGACAGCAAACAGCCTGAAGTTCATGAAACACGACAGCTAGCGGGAGTTAGCTCCTCTTTCACTGATGTCAGTAGCTGTTATGTGGGTGTCAGTTTTACCTGCGTATCTGAGCAACTCTGCAGAGCATGATGGTGTCAGTGTCCACAGCACAGACAGCACAGACAGGAGGGACGCTCACAAACTACAGATCAGCTCGCTGCCCTTGAACTGAGCTATTTCAACTTGACGGCGCAGTGGACCGTGCCATTCTCCAATACCGGGGGTGTTGACGAGAACGTGCAGGGGTTTCACAAACATCTGCTGCTCCAACCGAAGCCAGGACTCCCCTTAGAAATATTGAAGTTAATGAATAAATACAAATATGGTGAAAATATATTGATGTGTTTAAATATGCATAAATATAATAGATGTTATTTTAACCCCCCCCCCCTCCTCTATGACATTGTTCGACACATCAGTTAAAGTGCAGCAGGGCTGTTTTTGAAACAGGTGATTCATTTTGAATGATAACGTGCTTGTGGTTTGAAACACGCAGAGTTAAGATAATAATGATCGATGCGTGATAAAATATAATTTAAGTCGTAATAATCGTTAATGTATTAACACAAGTTCGCATTTAAACAAACAGCAAAGAATCACGTGAACGCCTCTTCTGACATATGGGAGGTAACGTCAGAGATCGTCTATGTCGAGGCAAATGAGTCACTGAAATTTTTTTACTGACGAGACCGGTCCAGAATCAATGAAGAATGACGTCAAGCAAAAGTTAATATCATTGATTGTTAGATTTCACAACTATTGATAAACCATTAAACTTGATAATGATGGAAGATGTTTCCTGACATCACATTAAATCAAGTCTATTTAAATAGGTTTTAAGAAGTGATTTAAAATAAGTCACTGACTGTGTGAGTCTTTTTTCCTCATTCATTTTCCACATTATTCTCTGATATTTGCATTTTGTCAATGAAAGTTATGAGAGTTTGAATCTGTTTTGGTTTCTACAACAGAAATCTAAATTTCCCTCTGGATCAATAAAGTATCTATATATAGGGTTGTCATATAACTTAATTTATGAACGACAAACCAGCACAATGTGGAAATAGAAAAGAACAAGATTGAACAAAATAAGATAAAACAAAAATTAGACCTTGAGAAAAATATATTTCACAACAATCTTGTTGTTCTCAGTAACTCGCCGCGGAGTGAGAGCTCTGTTTATGCTCGCAGCTGTGGTGGCGGCACTGTGGTGCAGCGGCAGCCTCGCACAGACTCGATCGGTCCTGTCTGCCGAGAGGAGGACGATGGTGGACACACCGAAGCGAATCATCCACATTTAAACCCGCAGCTCGCGTGTTTTTTTCCTGACTGAAGTCGCAGAACAAGCCACCGGTCACCACGGAGACACTCAAACGACCGCGTCTTGGTGAGTGTTTCTCCCGCTGAGTCGAGGCCGGATATCTGCAGCCGAGAGCCCGCTACTTTCAGGAAAAGGAGCGCAGGGGAGGGGGTCATTTCCTTCACCGCCATTTTGTGATAACAAGGAGCCGAAAACAGAGCCAAGAATCGCACGCTGCCAGGCGGGACGTTAAGACTCTAACACCGGGTAACACGTTAGCTTCGGAACCGCTGTTTATTCCCCCGGCGGGTGCTATATGTTGTTAGCACTCGATAGCTAACGTTAGCGTGCTTATTCTATAATCCTCGCAATCCGCCGCTGCTCGCCTCCTCGCGAGCTAACACCTCAGGCTCGAAGGCTCCTTAAAAGCGCTTATGTCGAAGTTTATCATCATTTTTTCATGTTGCTAACTTCGGTGGTCGCGTGTGTTTATCTTCATCGGGTTGTTGGAAGCTGTAGCTTAGGTAGCATTTTAGCATTAGCTGTAACACACTGCGTTGTTGTTCAACGCAGCTAAAGAAGAAGCAGCGTCTTAAACACACGACATCAAGCTGCGATTAATGATGTTTTCCTTTCGTGTTTATTCCCAGAGTCCACAATGACCAACGAGGAACCTCTACCCAAGAAGGTGGGAGTCTTCTCTGCCTCAGTGTTTGTCACGTGTAATGAGCCATTTTATCTCATATTGTCGATCAGTGTCTAACCAGTCCCTGCTTTTTTATTTTCCTCACACAGGTTCGCCTCAGTGAGTCTGACATGAAGACCCTGACCAGAGAGGAGTTGTGCACAAGGTAGTTAACTGCCCTGTCTCTGGATGTGAACTGAATTGTGGGAAAACTCAACTAAGCAGAAAATGCACATACATCTTCTGCACCTTTTTGTTTTTTTAGATGGAAACAGCATGAAGTATATGTCCAGGTCCTGGAGGCTAAATATGCTGAGCTGTGTTGTAAGTAAACATTTTCCCAGAATGATCGCTGCATGTTGCACACCACATCTCTATATTCTATATTTCTCGTTTGACACGTTTGCTTGTCTGCCCCTCTTCCACGTCTTAGCCAATGATGTCACAGGCCTGAAGGAGTCGGAGGAGAAGCTCAAACAGCAGCAGCAGGAGTCTGCACGCAGGGAGAACATCTTGGTCATGCGACTTGCCACCAAGGAGCAGGAGATGCAAGAGTGCACGGTATGTATCTAATCCTCCTGTCTTAATGTTTAACTATATGAGTTGTTGGTGTCCTCAGCTTCTCCTTGTCTATGACTGAGCTGAACTTATGGGCTCCACAGTTACTGATGCTCTGGCCCTTATAATCCCCAATGAATAATTAATAGTGTAGAAGACTTTAATACTAAGTGAAATCCAGTTGATCTGAGACTGCATCCATCACTTCCATTATTTGCACCATTCTGGCAAATTGTGTTAAATGGTTCTCTTGACAAATGCACACATTGACAGCTTCTTTGAGGGATCAGATTGAGAAGGCAGATTCAACACTTCTGACAAAGTGTCTTGTATGTAAATGCAAAAGCGTAAACAACAGTTAACCAGCTTTGTGTCATACATTGAGCAACTTTAAACGGCAGTCATGTATCAGAATTCCAACTTTCCCCTATGAGGCAACTAATCAGTTACCTGACGTCTTTCGAACACTGTCATACTTAATATTCATTCATGGCTTGAGGAGGGCATCCTCTGCTCTTATCACACTGACAGCTCAGTAGTAGACTTCCCTGTGGCTTTACAGCAGCATGTGTCATTCTTATAGGGCAGTAGCAAACACTGCTGAGAGTTTAACCTTGATGCCTGGTAGTAGTTAGTTGCAACCTTTGCCCAGAGAAATCTCAAGGTTTAAATTGCTTCTGTCTTTGACAGGTGAGTTGTTGGTTGTGTCTAAGAAAGACAACATATACAATTATTACTACAAGCATTTAATTTAGAAACAATGTGAAAACTAATCCTACTTTTGGAACAAACACTTGATAGCCGTGTAGATATATCTGATTTTGGGTAAATTGTAACTGTTGCTCAATCGACTGGATGATAGGTTGAGCTAAAGGACTAGTTTTCAAGACAATCAAATTTCCTCAGGTGTAGAAATGTATAAATGTATACGTTAGTAACACTTGTTTGTTTTATCCTGTAGACCCAGATCCAGTACCTCAAGCAAGTCCAACAACCGAGTGCGGCCCAACTGCGGTCATCCATGGTGGACCCAGCCATCAATTTGTTTTTCCTCAAAATGAAGGCTGAACTGGAACAGACTAAAGACAAACTGGAGCAGGCCCAAAATGAACTGAGTGCCTGGAAATTTACACCTGATAGGTAAAGACAATCAAAATAACCCCCCCTCCTTCAAACAAAAAAAGTCAAGACTTCCTCACGCCCCTCACTCTCACTGCAGGCATGCAGGAACAATGGTGGGGGGGAAGGCTGACACATGCTGTACTCACCACGAGACTCAGACTTTACAGAAAGCCAGTCACTGCAGAACAGAACTGTTTTTGTACTCTTGCACTGTGCCAGCTACATATCACATAACCTAACGTGAAAAGACAGAATGGTCAGGTGACACTTGTGTTTCAGCTCTCTCCCCTTGCATCCCCTCACCGTCCAAGGGCCCGAAGGAGTCCGGACTGTTCCTGAAGAGGTGGTCACTCACTTCCCGACATGGATATGCCCTCCCCGCCCCCTCAGCTCAAACCAGACAGTTCACATATTAAATAGGGGGGTTATGGTGGAGGTTGAGTCAGGCAGGGAGCATCCCTAGCCTTAAACAGCAATTGAACATTTTAAAGACAATCCCTATACTTGGTTTATAAAGACATTTAACTGTGGATTACACCACACACATACCTGCTAGTCTGCCTGAGAAACGTAAAGACTTTTTGGACAGTCTAGACAGATCGCAGTAACATGAGGAAAGTTCTAGGTTTTTAAAGTAAGACTTTGGAGGGGAAGAGCTTCTAGAAATGATGTTGAGACTGTGGTGGAGCCAGATCCTCGGTCCACATGGTTCAGGCACGAGAGTCCAGTCGCCTGTGTCTCTGAACATGGGCCCAGTCACGGTAGAGTGTATTTACATGTTTTATTTTGTGACATGTTTCTTTTATTGGTATTTAATTTCTTTCTCTTGTTTCTCTGAAACAAACACTTACTGCAGTGTGTGTGTGAATCCATGTGATTAATTGGCTTTAATCGTTAACAATTAATGTAAAATTTGTACTTTATTTACAATTTAAGCTTTGCTTAACTTTCTGGATGCACATTGAAACACACTGCTGTAGGTGAATTGAGTCCTGTTTGAAGCTGTGAATGCAAATGTCTTTTAACAAGTCATGTTATGAGTTGATGAGAATGTATTGATTGTATTTCTGTGTATTTTTGTGATTGACCTCAATCTCTCCCTCAGCCTTTTACACTTATAGTCAGTTAGATTTCTTACCAGTGTGGCACAGATCTTCAGCCACTATTTTCAAAATAAGAGCACACAGTGGAATCTCTTACATTTTCCTGTTTTTTTAAAAACAAATTTATACTCAGATCTTTCAGATTTGAGTTGGTAGTGTGTAAACTGACTGTTGATACATTTCCAGCATCTTGGATAATAGTAATGGTTTTATAAGTAATAATTGCGAAGACAAGTTGTACAAGCAACTGACTAAAGATATGTGGTGCATGATTGCAAAATTACTTTAGAGTAATGTCCATAAATGGATTTTTAACAAATTTGAAAGAACCAGTTTAATGACTTCTGCTTTCAGATGGTGCAGTTGCAGAATTGTTTGCCATTATTGTTCATATTTCATTCCAGATGACTTCTATAGACATTTATAGGTGGCAGTTAACTTTGGTTTGAAATG